TGTTAGTTGTATATAAGAAGCACATATATATAAGCCCGTGGGCTTTTAGGTTTAGGGTTTAGGCACTCTGTACTATCCTATATAAGTAGCTTAGGTTTTCTCCTTTTCTTGTAATGTTCCCACAATATTCATTCAATACAAACGGCAATCTTTTGGCCCTCTCTTTCTCTTATTCTAACGCTAAAACAGGCCTTTAGGGGTTGTTTGATTGGTTTTGATCTAGAAGGTTTTCATAGATGGAAGGACCAACTTTTTTTGATTTAAAAGAAACAAGTTTACAAAAAACTTGGCTTTCTATATATGGCTTCCTTTAAAAACTACTTGGAATAAGCCATTTTATATATCATTAAACCACTACAAACAATCATATATAACTAATCGAATAAGTTGCTAATGAACAATCATGTAAAACTAATAGAAGGTGAATTTACGAAGTTGCCCTTTGAGCGGATATTTGTTGGTGTTAAATTTTAAAAGTTAGAAGGGGCCCACTGGAATTAAAATATAACTACACAGTTGTACGGTTACCCTTTGGGTCTCTTTTCTTTGTCGTTTCTATTGTCTAATGGTGTTTAACCTCACCTAGCCTCTCACCTAACACTTTAGCCTTATCCCATACCTTCTTGCTAAGCTGCGCTTCCACCTCCTCTTTCATCTTATCCTTCACTCGCCACTCCTCTTCTTCCGCCTGTCAACCTTCCATGGATCCCTAACATATCCACGTATCCATCAGATTCTTAGCACTTTCGACTCTAATTCATCTCTCTCTTAGAAATGTGATTTTTTCCATTGATTTTGGAAGATATAACGCCATCTTTTTAGGGGTTTTTGTCATTATACAGTTTCAATCTTCTTCAAGCATCGATTTCATGGCCGGAAGTGATCAAATCAACCTCTCTGAATCCAAGGTATTCATGCTCTTATCATTCCTTCTCTTTTTACGTAGATATTTCATATCTGTGTGTGTTCTTTCGATTTCTCAAGTAATTACTCTGTATGGATCGGACTCTGCTTTTTAGATCTATGGATTTGGTGGTTGGTAACTTGAAATCATGCTACATATGATATGCGTCTGATGAATTGAGCTGTTTTACTGGTTTAGATTGTGAATTTGATGTTAGGGTTTCGTTGCCTTTCTGTTTTTTAACATCTCTTTTAGGATGATCGAAGCTTTTCTTCGTTGGGGATTCGGCTTTCTTTTTTGAAACCTTTTCGTTTGTTTATGTGCGTAGAGGGTTGTTCCACTGAATACATGGATCCTAATGTCTAATTTCAAGCTGGCTTACAATCTTCTTCGCCGGCCGGACGGTACCTTTAACCGGCACTTGGCGGAATTTCTAGACCGTAAAGTCCCAGCCAATGTGAATCCTGTAGATGGGGTTTTCTCCTTCGATATCGTGATCGATCGGACAATCAACCTTCTCTCTAGAATCTATCGACCGGCTGCGAAGGAGACGGAAGGCGGTGCACCCCTGTCTACGAGTATTGCTCAACTTGAGAAACCTGTATCAACCTCCGATGTCGTGCCTGTTATAATCTTCTTCCATGGTGGTAGCTTTGCTCATTCATCTGCGAATAGTGCTATCTATGACATTCTTTGCCGCCGCCTTGTCGGTCTTTGTAACGCGGTGGTGGTTTCTGTGAATTACCGGCGAGCCCCTGAGAATCCTTATCCCAGTGCCTACGATGATGGCTGGACTGCACTTGAATGGGTCAATTCGCGGCCATGGCTTCAGAGTAAAGACTCGAAAGTTCACATCTTTTTAGCTGGAGATAGCTCCGGTGGTAACATTGTGCATCAGGTTGCTTTAAGGGCAGTGAAATCTGAAATCCAAGTGTTGGGAAATATACTACTGAATCCTATGTTTGGTGGAAAAACAAGAACCGAGTCCGAGAAAAGATTGGATTCTAGATATTTTGTAACGATTCAAGATCGAGACTGGTATTGGAAAGCCTTCCTTCCTGAAGGTGAAGATAGGGACCATCCGGCTTGTAACCCTTTCGGTCCAAAGGGTGCAAGTCTTGAAGGGATCAAGTTTCCCAAGAGTCTTGTTGTGGTTGCGGGTTTGGACCTGATTCAAGATTGGCAGTTGGCTTATGCCGATGGGCTCAAACGGGCTGGTCACGAGGTGAAACTCTTATACTTAGAGAAGGCAACCATCGGGTTCTATTTGTTGCCCAATAACGATCACTTCCATACCGTGATGGATGAGATACATAACTTCGTGACACCAATCCCCGACTGTGAATAGACTCAAATACGCCTATCCGTCTGGCTCTGCTACTAGTTTTATTAGATTGACATACCCTTTTCAAGATTTTTCGTTCGCAGTTTGGTAAGATCGTGTGGTACTGCTACTGTTACTGTTACTGTTATTGTTACTGTTACCGCTAATTACGGTTGTACTGATCCAGTCTTTGGATACGGGTATCGGCTATGGGATCTATGCGTTTTGCCGATCGAAAGAAAACCCGAAACAGTGAAGTTGGTGTTGTATGATATGGTGTGGCTGATAAGAGCCATTGTTAACTTTTGTTTCATGAGATCCTTCGGTTCAAGAGTTTTCCAAGTTGTGGAGAGCATTGAAGGATTTAATAGCATATTGTGACTGGTAACTGTGTTAGTTTTTAGCATATTTGTGTTGTTGAGGTTGGGGATGAACCTTATACTACTATGTGTATACATGTTTTAAGAGCCATATTATATGTATAAATGTTTTCTTCTTGAAGTATATAATATTTATATACAGCAAATGCAACAAATAAACTCACACACCTTCCTCACCTATGGTGAGGTTTGAATCCTTGACCTCCTAGAAGGCCAAGGGCTACGATACCGCTAGGCCAAAGGCCCTTTGGTTATATGTATAAATGTTTATGTATGCTTATTTTCATTTTAGTATTTTTATTTTTCATTTTTTTTATTAACCTGGATATCCAACCCGCTATGCCAGCCGATTAATCCCCAGGGCGACCACCTGTTTTGCAGATAGCCCGGAGTCACCGCATTTGAACCTCCATTCAAATTCAAGGAGGAAAAAAAATCCCTGCTACGGAGGTTCAAATGCGATGACTCTGGACTATCTGCAAAACAGGTGGTCGTTCTGGGATTAGTCGGCTCGCATAACGGGTTGGATATCCAGGTTAATCAATTTTTTTTTGAGAAATTGATTGAAAAACCAATCCATCCAAATGAATTTACTTCTAGGCATTTGTGAAAAAAGAATTATATATCTTAATGTATTTTTTTTAATTAATATACGATTATGTATGTTAATATGATAACGTTAGACGTAAACTCCATTTATAGGAAAAAAATGGTTTACACGAATATATGAGTCCGACTATTTTAAGAATTTATTTTAGCTATAAAGTGAATTAAGGAACCGTTTACTAAACGCTTATCCGATAGGTGAACATAGCAAGACCGAAGAATCTTACCTAGTAAGAATGATAATAAGGATAGAGGGTCTTACCTGGTAAGCGAGGGTGACGACTCTTACCTACGTAAACGCTTACCAAGTAAATTGTTGCATACGATACCATTTTGATGTACTACAATCTTACCCGGAAAATAAATTATAGTGTTGACTCCTAACGATAAGCGTTTGCCGGATAAGCATTTAGGTAAACAACCCCAAGTCAAGTATCTCATCAATTTATCTAGAGAGTATGGAAAGATGATTTGATAAGATTTTGTTAACTAGTTAAATCAAATGTGTACCATTTTTAATGTCTTTTAAGTGTACATTTATGAACATAAGATTCCATCTTAATACATTAATCTAAATCTTAAATATTTTAATTTGGTTGTATTATAAATCATTTTCTAGGCTTGAAAATTCAGATGATACCAGATCTTATAAATTCATAAAAGTTGATAGAGCAGCTAACCAATCTCATTTCTCAGAGAAGCCCATCGGTTTAGAGATTAGTTCATGCTCTTTAATCCCCTCGTTCAAGGAGTCGGAGATGGCTTGCGCGTTAGAAGTAGACATGAGTGGTTGTCTTAGCGCACACCTGCTAGTTTCGGGCTTGCTAGCCTATAATCCAGATTGATCTATTCAGATTGAGAAAAGGGCTTACAACGCCTTTAGAGTTCTGGCTTGGAACGGGTGTAAATACCAAACGAACGAACATGAACGAAATCATGTTCGTGTTCGTTTATAGACCTAGTTTTGGATATTTGAGGCGTATTTTTAGACGAATGATCGTGTGAGAATTGAGTAAAAAATTATATCGAACGAGTGACATTTTCGTTTTTTATCGATTTGTTTTCTCTTTTACCCAATAAAAATTGATTTTATGATTTTGGTTTTGTTGTTTTTGATCGAGTAAAAGACAAAATAAAATACGAAAATAGCCTTCATTTAAAAAAAATATTTAGCGACCTTTAGAGGGAGTAACCAAATCTGGACGCTTTTACAAATCACGATATCCATCTTGTAATTCCAATATTGTAGGAAATAAACTGTTATTTTTGACAAACAACAGGAATCAAGTTTGTAGTTTACGTCTGATCATTTTTAAAACATACTATCCGCTTCAAACAGAGGGACTTATTTAGGCTTAGAAACACAAAATTTAGATGAAGAATGTCATTTCCCCTTCTCCCTTCTATCTTTCGTGAATGATTGCTAACTTTAGAATAATATTGTTTTTTTTATTAACCTAGATATCTAATCCGTTATGCGAGCCGACTAATCCCAAGGCGACCACCTGCTTTGCAGATAGTCCAGAGTCACAGCATTTGAACCTCTGTGACCACGAGGGGATTTTTATTTCTCATTGGATTTGAACCTCAGACCTCCTGGTACTTTTGACTTTTGGAATCAAGTTCAAACCAATCAGGCACCACCATTGTGATTAAGAATATTGTTTACCGACTCCCAAATCATCAAAGGACCGCAAACCGAGTATCGTCCTTTTCCCGCATTGGTTTCTACCTCAAATCGTGAATTTAAGAGTACAAATCTATATCAGGGTTTATTTTTTTGTTTAAAATTTCATTTTTTTTGTTTGAATTCGGATTTTTATTTGTATTGATTTTGTATTAGAATATGATAATTTTGAAACCCAAAAATTTGCTACTCCTGTGATTATATGGTATTTGTTTAAAGTTCATAGTGTTGTTTCATTTATGAGCTTTGATTGTTTCAATTTCATTTTTACTAAAATTCACAGGTGAAACCAGAAAGTTTATAAGTGGAAACAATATTTTTTAATAAAATTTTATAGATAAAATAATGATTATTGTACCAAGACAAACCAACTGCCTATGGATTCAACAGCAGTTTGAAAGGTTAACCTATTCAGGGAATCGTACCAATTTAGTTGGTACCAATCTAACGAGTTGATAGTACCGTACCAACTATCTAAACTTGGTTGGTACATAGTATTAGAAGTCATCTACCACGGTATTACCGTACTGTACCGACTTATTATTTCAATTATTTACGAATTAAAGATTAATTAATAATACAACATATTTTGATTTAAAATATAAATTATCTTGTTTTAAAATTTGTTAAATTACAGTACAGATAGATTTTGATTGAATTAATTCGTCTAACCCCAACAACATTGGTAACTCGTCCACACCTACTCGATTCATTGGCGCTTCTCAACGGCGTCTTGTATTACTCTATTAGTGAGTGCTTGTATTATATGAAAAATATTTAAATGTTTGTACAGGTAAGGATAAATGGTACAACACATATCAGTATGTTATGTGAATTCTTGATGGTTTTAGTGAATCTAAATCTAGTTGGGAAAAATGTCAATTTAAATAAATTTATAACTTTAACTTTTATGATGTTGGTATAATACTGTACCAACATATACCAATAAAAAAAAGTTGATATCAATTTAATGTACTAATCATAATTGGTTGGTAAATTATATGAAATTTTATATATCAATTATAATTATACTAGAAGGGTATTCGCGCAATGCAGCGAAAGATATCTCGATTTTAGTGTATCGTTTTATTCCGTCCATGTAGATGTTTTAATATGAGTTTTGAAAAAAGAATAATGATTTTTATTTTTGAATAAAATATAAATTTGAATATATCATAAAATTTCTAAAATAATTATATCAATATTAGTATCAAATTAACTATTAAAAGTTATTGTTTTTTATGTAATTTCTTTAATTATTTTTTATTATAATTTAATTTAGATTTAATAACGAAATAATTTATTTTTGATTTAATAAATCTTTTATAAGGATAATATTAAGTAATCTGTTAGAATACTAATTATATTTTAATTTTTTTATATTTAAAATAAAATATTTATCTTGTATTTGATGATGCTTATCTGCAGTTAGTTATATGAATTTAAACATGAAACTTTAATAAGTTGTACTTACGCACAATTTACTTGTAATCTCGAATTTTAAGTAATATGCATCAATAAACAGTACTCCATGCATAAAAAATGATTTTTAAAAGTTTTTGTCAAATGTTTTATAATATATGGGTGTTTGGGATTGGTTATGTGAAATAACTTATGCTTTTTTACAAAAGCACTTATCAACTTATTATAAGTCAAAATGATTTAGGGGGTGTTTGAGATTGCTTATTTAAAACAACTTATATTTTTTTGTAAAAGTGCTTATTAACTTATGTGGTATTAAATCGGAATTTTGTAAAAAGTGTTTGGATTAGCTTATAGCGGTACCAAAAAACAATAAGCTAATAAGTTGTTTTTTAGTGTTTGACAAATTTTGTTCATATATGTAAAATGACCAAAAAGAACGGTCTTCTATATAATAATATTTTTTATTATTAACTTATTTGATTTTTCAACATGTAAAAATTTATTTTTCATCATTTATAATAATATTTTTGACAAAAATTTATATCAATTAGATTAATAATTAACAAATATTAATAAAACATAGTTAAAATGGTAAAGTGATAATAAACAGTTTTTCATAAGTTAGAAAGAATTAACTTATCAAAAACTATTTATTACCGGTTTGGCATCGATATAAGCAGTTTTATTTTTTCTTATACAAACATTAGCATTTAGCTTATCACCGGTGCCAAACTGAAATAAATAAAAAAACACCTAAAATAAACAATCCCACATATAATCTTAACTTCTTTAAAAACATCTTATTAACAATTTAACACCAATATAAATTATTTATCTAAACACTTAAAAATGTTTATTACCGATACGGAACCAAAAATAAGTTAAACTAACGATCGAAAAACCAAAGGCAGGTGACAACCACAACTCGGCCTTGGGCCAACGCTGGATTCTCATTATCCTCTTCTTCATCTGTTCACCACCACCGATCCTTACTCCTCAAGATATCTCCGACCCCTTTCATGGCGAATCCACCCTTCCTCTTAGAATCCAACTTCAATTCCAACCTTTTGCTCCAACAAACCTTCCATTTCCCCCCAAATCGCTATTTCCCAATCAAATTCTCCCATTCCCATCATAATGCTCTTAAAATCAATCACTCTTCTCACAAAATGATCAGAGTTTCCCCCAATTTGGGAATCAAATGCTTCATCATCAACCACAACCCCAAAGGGGAAAAGTCTAGTGCTCGTGGCATGGAAGGATTCACAAACGATTTGAAAAAAATTGTTACTGGCAGTGGTATGAATCAAGTGTTTTGGAGATCAATTACGAATGTTCTCAAGGCCTTACAAAAACCCGCCATAACTGGGATTTTATTAGGTTTGTTATTGTTGTACGATCATCACCATGGTTGCGTTGCGTTGGCTGCTTCCGGTGGGCGAATGGGTGGGAAATCGTTTTCCTCCTCTTCTTCTTCTTCGTCTTCTTCTAGAACTTATACCACTCGAACAAGGGGCCCGGAGTTATCATTTTCGGCGCCGTATTATGCTCCGACGCCGTTTGGCGGTGGTGGTGGGTTCTATTTAGGGCCAGCAGTTGGAGTTGGGTCAAGTTTTTTCTTTGTTATGATGGGTTTTGCTGCCTTCATTTTGGTGTCTGGATTTTTATCAGATCGATCTGATAGTGATGATGGTAGTCTGCTTACTGCTACCGAGAAAACAAGTGTTCTTAAGCTTCAGGTAAACTATTTGTTTATTCGTTTTCAAGAATTGCTGATATATAGGCCATAAACTTAACTTCAAATTGGAAATTGATTTAATTTTTTGTGCAAATTGAACCCCAAATGTTTTGCTTTCCATCTTTTCAATTATGTCCTTTAAGAATTTATTGCAAGCTGGGGAAGACAACTTCAGTCTTGGCAGCTAACCCAGCCCTTTGCCAAATATTTCTCAAAACTAAGATTACATATCACTTTTGAGGCTTTACAAGTGATGCGGTTGACACACAATGTTATTTGGCCATTTAGGGGTCGCTTACCAGCATGTACCATTATGCGCTTACCTGGTCACTTACCTTACATGGCAAGGGCCGGAAATCTTACTCGCTTACTTGGTCACTTACCTTACATGGCAAGGGCCGGAAATCTTACCCTGTAACAGGGAAGTTCCAATTTTTTTAGAGGCTTTGTTACATATTAGACTGCAAAATGAGATAACAAAGATTTAGCATGCTAAAGAACCGCCTTGTCCGGTAAGAGGCAAGGCAAAGAACAAGAGTCTTACGCGGTGGACGAAGTTTCAACGTGCTTGGCGAGCCTGTTGACTATTTATCAGACAATCACCTATTCACAAACTTCGTGTGGGGCTAATAGTTTTCATTTCGCATCTCACTCGACCCGACAGTACCTGTTTGGGGAATGTCTAGTGCCAAAGTCGCTGAGGGTGATGGCTCTTATTTATAAGTGCTTACCAGTTAAGATTGCTACATATGATGGCTCTTACTGATAAGTGCTTACCAGTTAAGATTGTTACATATGATGCCATTTTGATGCCCAAAGTCGTACACGGTGAGGTTAGTGAGAGTGGCGACTCTTACGGGTAAGCGCTTACCCAGAAGCGTTTACCAAAATGCCTCCTTAGTTAAATGACCCGAGTTTTCAGTTAAGGGCTTGACCTATTCAATAACCTTCAAATGACCTGGTGTAAACACCCCGCCCTATAAAATAATGGAAAAACACTAGAAAGTTGGTTCGGAAAAATGACTTCCATAGAAGGTCACTTAACTAAATCACCCATCGTTCTTTAGGGCAATAAAGCCCAACAGGGGTCCTTTGGTTAAATGACCTTCCGGCATATATATTTTTAACTCGATTGACCTTTTCTCTTACTGGTTTGAGAATGTCACTGCACAGCAAAAAAATGGCACTTCCATACGCAAGCATGCCTAAGAACTTGTCAATGAGCTTCTGACAGATTTTTAGGAAGAATTTGTCTTCTAAACATATGAATGCTATAAACCGTCAGAAGGTCATGGATTTAAAAAGAAACCTGTCTTTAGCTAAATGACCAACCTAAGTTCTTTTGAAGTTACTTACTTCTGGAGATCCTGATAGCTGCCAGTTATTACCATGAAAATGCACTTTGATACATCTTATGGTGCGATATGTATGATTTATATGATTTGAATTGTATACCTTCCTGCATACAACTTAATACCATTTGTAGTAACTACTGACCTTCTATTTTTCAAGGTTGGATTGTTGGGTATGGGTCGATCACTGCAAAGGGATCTCAATCGGATTGCTGAGGCAGCTGATACATCCAGCCCAGAGGGATTGAGCTATGTATTAACAGGTAATAGTTCTTACAGATTGATATGTACATGATACATACAGTTTCTATATGTAACATATCTGTGATTGTTATCTAATCATCGATTTGTTTGCTACTATGCTAACCATAAAAGGAACTACAATTTGCCAAAAACTTTTATATGGTTCTCCATAAACAATTGACAATCAAGTTTAATTTAAATGTGTGTGCATACATATGTATAAGCACTTGTGTATGTACGTATCTATGCATATGTGCGCACATATATACACACACACACACACACAAGTATGGTCAGGTTCAAGGGAGAACCACAAAAAAAATGATAAATTGAGGAACATCTTTGTAACCGTTCATTTGGATAGTATGCACACATGCATACAAGTAATTTATAAGCAATTTGAACCACAAGGGTGGTGCCTGATTGGTTTGAGCTTGGCTTCAAAGGTCAAAAGTACCAGGAGGTCCCAGGTTCAAATCCAAGGAGGAATAAAAATCCCCTTGTGGCCACGGAGGTTCAAATGCGGTGACTCCGGGCTATCTGCAAAGTAGGTGGTTGCCCTGGGATTAGTCGGCTCGCATAGCGGGTTGGATATCCAGGTTAATCAAAAAAAATAATTATAAGCAATTTGTACGGTATGTACACGTGCATTTGCATAAAAACCAAAAAACAACTTTAATTACTTGTATGCACATTCCTCAGTTTTTCATTTTTTGGGGGTTTCCCCTGAACCTCCCTCCCTCCCTCCGTCTCTCTCTCTCTCTCTCTCTATATATATATATATATATATATATATATATATACGCACACCTATATATACTTCAATATGTTGACTATAATCACTATCCTTGTGACTAACCAACAATTTTGAAGTCGTGACATTCCTTCCACCATATGGTTGTTTTGTCTCTGCTATCGGTTGTCACTAGTTGCTAAAACCAAACCAAACCAAACGAGTCCAGTATCTCCCACCATTTGTAGGTGATGTACACAGACCTGTCACTAACCTGTAGAGTGAGCGACTATTTCCCATGACTTGCAAAAAGTGTGTGAAAAACAAAGTTTGCCCAAGAAGTCTAAACAATTTGGAACAAAAAGAGAAGAATTGGAAAAAAGGTAAGAAGATAAAGGCTAGAGAAGAAAGATTCCCAACCATTTGCTGGATCATGAAATTTCATGCCGAAGTTGATATGAATGCACAATGGACTTGATATAGGCCTCATATCATAAATGGTTTTGCTTATCTTTTGGAGGCAAAAACGTGTATAATCATCTGATTGCTGCTTAAACCGATTTCATTTTGGTTGCAGAGACGACACTAGCTCTACTTCGGAATCCTGATTACTGCATCTCTGGTTATTCATCCGTAAGTTCGTAGGCTATTTCCTCCATCATCTTGCTTTTGCGTAATACTTCCTTCAAACAGTTGTTTCAACTTTTGAATATTTGACACAAAAAGTCTTCGTAGATGATCAAAATGAAAGTTCTTTCGAGTTTTACTTGCAATCAAGTCACACAGAACCACATTGTTTTTTTTTGTTCTCTTTTCTTAGCGCTTCAAAATTCCTTATCCTTTCTATCTCATTTACTACTCTTTATACAAATGGATCTGGGCGGAAATGTTGTTCTTTATGGTACACAATGAACATCTTTGAGCAAGGAATCCCCATTTGAATCATTCATGATCGATATTGAAACTTGCAAAGTTACCTTTTGACAAGAATTTCCCTCAACAATGTGAGGCAGTTTCTCTACTATATGTTAACTTTTTATTATAAATCTTTCAAGAACATTGAACGTCTGCATATTGGTTTATTTATCTGCTGCAGGTGGACCTCAAGAGGAGCGTAGAGGATGGTGAGAAACGATTTAATCAACTTTCAATTGAAGAAAGGGGTAAATTTGATGAGGAGACTCTGGTCAACGTGAACAACATCAGAAAGCAAAGTTCAACAAATCAAAGATCAAATGGATTCCGTAACGAGTATATAGTGGTGCGTATATTTTAAATGATTACCATATACATGTTTTTTTTTCTCTTTTTGTCTGTTGTTTCCACTTATCTCCAAAGGTGAATGCTTCTTTCCTATTTGTCTTATGCATGATGAATTCATGATTATTGCTTTTGGTATTTTTCATAGATTCTTCCCGTTTATCGTTTTTAATGCTTCAAATAGATGCAACCTCCAACTTTTTGTAATGTTTATGAGAAATTTGTTTCTGCTAGCTTCTCATAAACGGATATTGCATGCTTGTAAGTGTGAATATGCCACCAGTACGTATATCACAGGGCTTTGTTGTTCAATGCATGAAATTATAAATTATTAAGCATTTAGAACTGGAGACTTAATGGGACTCACCGCTTATTTGGTTTGTTATACATGATTGTTTGGTAGTGGCTTAATGATATAGAAAGTGTCTTATTAAGTAAGCTTCTAAGGGGGAGCTTCATACAGGGCTTAATTGAAAACCAATCAAATAGCCCCTTAGATTGCATGTAGCTATCAGTATTCTGCAGTCACTACTAAGATTATCTGATTATGAGAACATTAAACTAGGTGCTGCCACTTATTTTGATTTATCAAACATGTCATCTGGTGGAGTCCCATATCAGCTAGACTTGGACCTTTTTCTTCTCAATATATGTTGGAACCCCTTCTCTTCTCAAGGGCTCTTTTGGAGAGTAATCTGGGGTTCAACATATTCTCATATGGTATCAGAGCCATGGTCTACCACTCTAAGGGACTCAAAGCTCTGGGGCATCTGTACCCTTTTAGGCTTTTAGCCTCAATTGGAGGGGGCGTGTTGTGGTCCCCATCTGCTAGACTTGGATCCTTTCTTCTCAATATATGTTGGAACACCCCTTCTCTCCCAAGGGCTTTCTTGGGGAGTAATATGATGTGGTTCTACATAACTCACATTCTCCAATCTGCATTGTAATTTAGTACTTTCTTAGTTGTTAGAAGCTAGAATTATGATGGTCATAGATTTGGCTTCTTTTATATGCTTAACATCAGATAATATTCTTCGTTTATAAGAAGTTGTTCAGTTATATCAGCCGAAGACCACCTTTTTGCATTATATGTTCATAGTCTTATCAGTAGTATAGCAACTTCAGGTTAGGACTTGGGGTAATCACATGAGCGTTTTGCTTCTGTGCGTACACAACATCTTGATTCTTTGTTCGTTTGTTGTGTATACAACTATTCTCTTCTCTTCATACTTGTTTGTGATTTGTTCGATTTGCTGTTTGTTGGCACCTGTTAAGTTTACAGAATCTTGATCTTGGATTTACAATAATTATTTAAAAAACCGATGCCAAATTTGCATATTAATACCATTATGTTTGAACTTTTAAAAACCAGAACTCGGACTTTTGGTTATCAAAGTATTCTGAACTTCTTCCGGATTTGTGTAGAGGATCATATTATTTCGAATATATAGCATTCCTTGACTAATAACACATATTTTCTGGTTGAAGATTACGATCATCGTGGCTGCTGGAGGCGTACATAAACTGCCACCCATCAACAGCAGTGCACAATTGAAAGAAGCCTTGCAAAAACTGGGGTCTATCCCTTCAAGCAGAATTATGGTGAGACCTTTATGCACTTGTTGTCTAGCCCAGAAATTATAATTCTCATGTTCCATCTCTAACTGGGTTCGTTTGGTTTGGTTTTCTGTTCCCTTTCTAATTGAGTTGGTTTGGTTTTCTGTTCTATCTCTAACTGGGTTTGTGTGATTTAGTGGGTGGGTTCATTTGGTTTGGTTTTATGTTCCATCTCTAATTGGGTTTGTGCGATTCACTGGATTCGTTTGCTTTGGTTTTCTGTTCGATTTCTAATTAGTCGATCATCTTACAGGCGGTTGAGGTGTTGTGGACCCCACAAAACGAAAACGATACGCTTTCAGAGCGGGAATTGCTTGAAGATTATTCGTTGTTGCGCCCTCTGTAGGTAAAACCGTTATGATGCTTTGTACATAATATATAGGCGATGAATGATACAGAAAATTGTATCTCCTCACAATTTTTGAAATGGTTGGTCCTTTACACAATTCCAAATATGTCACTTGGAAAAGCTCTTTTCTTTTTCCTTCAAAATTTTGCTAAGATTTGGTGTTTGTTTTATATAGCAACAATAAAGGTATACAAGTTTTTGTGGCATGAGTTACATGTTTTAGACCATTCTTGTTTGTGATTTGAACGTATCGGGCGAGGGGTCGACTGAGGAGGATGTGGGACAAACAACTGAGGCCGGACATGACACCTTTTTGAGGACATCATCTCTGATGGGAATTTTTGTAAGAAATGAAGATAAAGAACCAAATCCAAGACAACTTTCCGATTCAATTTTGCTCTGAAGATACGGATAAAAAAATCGCAAGAATGAAACTCAAAGGAATTGACAGGGGGATGCACAAGCGGTGGAGCATGTGGTTTAATGCAACTATGAATTTCATGGAGAGTTCTAAGGGGGCTTTGGCCTAGCGGTATCGTAGTCTTTGGCCTCCTAAGAGGTTAGGGGGTTCAAACCTCACCAAATATGAAGAGGGTGTGTGAGTTTATTTGTTACATTTGCAGTATATAAATATTATATACTTTTCAAAAAAATTATGGAGAGTTCGATCCTGGCTATGGATGAACGTTGTCTAATTGTCCATGCGGTAATGATGGTATCTTATACTGCGAGGATGATCAACCACACTAGGACTGAGACGCGGCCCAGACTCCTCTTCACCTTCCTTCGGCGTATTATCGGCAGTCCATTCAGGGTTCCAAACTTAATGATGGAGTAATCCGCCCGAGGAGGGGCTCGAACCAGATCGTGAAATCAAACCGTCTGTAAGATCGAACCAGATTGTGAAATCAAATCGTCTGTGAGATTGAACCCCATCGTGAAATACTGTCTATGAGATCGTAAAATGAATCCGCAGTTTGTAATCGAAACCATGTCTGAAAACTGCCGTCCAAAGCCACTGTTTGAAACCATCGTCTAAACAACCAGATCTAAAACCCGACTTGTTTCTCGTTATCAGTTATTCTTGATTCAATCTTTTGCCACTTCTTTCAATAGTCTGAGCTCTCTTGTAGTCCTAAAATTTCTCGTTTACAACCCTATTTGGATCTGTTAAAGTTTAGGCGAGGCCCGTGTATCTACTCAACCAATTTTCTTAAGTAGGATTGAAAGGTGAAGCCGTTAAACTTTGAAAGACGCTTTAGGATATTAAAAAAATAGAAGCAATATCGAGTAAAAAACCGAAAAAGTTCATCGAAATAAAAAAAAGAACTTTAAAAAATCACTTAAAACAGTGAAATTCAGCTTACAACACATCATACGACTCTACGAATATTTTTTGTGTAATCGATATTAATATCAAATTAATTATTTGAAAGTTCTCGGTTTTTTGTGTAATTTCTTTAATTCAATTTTTATTATGATTTATTTAAGTTTAATACCGAAGTAATTTACTTTTATCTTAATTATACTTTAGATTTTTTATATTTAAAATGATATGTTTATTTTGTATTTAATTTTGTTTATCTGCATTCAATTACACGAATTCAAACATGAAGCTTTAATAAATTGTACTTGCATACAATTTATTTGTAATCTTGAATTTTAAGTAATATGCATCAATAAACAGTACTTCATGCATAAATAAAAATGGTTTTTAAGAGTTTTAATCTAATATTTTATAACATAATATATATTTGACTTTCTTTAGGAACTTTGTTTTCATTAACAGCTAGGGAGTCACCGAGTGTTTTCATACGTGAAACTTTGCAACATTCATGATAAATGTCCTGTACATATTCATACGAGTTCAAACTTTGAAGAACGTAATAACTAACTTGACGAATTAGAGACAGTATACAAGAAATGTACATCGATTGTGAGGATAAGTTGATCGTGACTGCTCTCGATGATGATTGTTGAAGTATCGATTGTGAGGATAAGTTGATCATGTTATCAATTTTTGGATCTCGTTGTCATCAGATGTCTTTCAAGAAGACGTTTACGCCACTTCATTATCTGGTTTGTGTTTGAATTTATCTTAATGTGCGTAACTGTCCCTTTAAGGTTACGTTGGATGAATTTGCTTTCATCATGGTTTCTAATTTGGGTTTAAATTTTGATTTCAAACGTAATTTTATCGTTTCAATTTGGATCGAAGAAGATGAAATATTTAAAGACGTGTCATTTGTTTAGATACGGTTTCCTCTGGGTGTTGTTTACATTTTAATATGAAGACGAAAAACACCCTTAAAATATAAACGCCAAACGTTGAAGAAGTATGAAACAAAATTATCAAAATACCCCTGAAAAACATGACGGTACATAACAAGAAATTTTTTTGATCAAAATTACCAAAATGCCCTTGAAGGATGAACTGAAATTATCAAAATACCCCTAAAAACCGTCATGTACACAACACATGATATGACATAACAAAAAAAATAAATAGTAATGTTGGAAAACAGGGACTAAAATGTTATAAATTGGGTTGTTATAGGATTGACATTGAAGCAATTGAAAGTTTGGACTAAAACTGTACATTGAGTAATAATTTAGGGACTAATTTGTAAAATATAACATTTTGTGAATTAGTCGATAATAAATGGAACAAAGACGCCGTGAGGTCTTATTGGAATATTTGAAGTCCAGTTCCGTCGTCTCTCTCTCTCTCTCTGGAATGTTTGAGTTTGGGGATGAACTCATAATAGACAGCTACAGGATTCCATGGCTGATATGGATCCAGCTACTAGTTATGTTTCTTCTCGTTATATTGCTTTATTATTTCTCCACTACGCCTTCTGATCTCTCCCTCCACTTCTCCACCGCCACTGCCACTGCCACCGCTTCGCCGTCAGCCACCGGTCTATCCTACCATCGCTCTTTGCTCACTTCCACCGCTGCAAACAATCAGCACAATTCTAAGGTATGCTCTGAATTCTTAGCTTGGTAGATCCAATTGACGAATCCGATATAATTAAGTATTGTTGTTGTTGAAAGTATTATTTTAGTTGATCATTTCAGATGGCAAATTAACGTAGAATAATTACTTCTGGAGATTAAGTTGAATGGTTTGTTTTGCCTTAAAACAAAGAGAAATTGTTATTAAGTATGTAAATTCTAGTTCTCCTTTTCAAAGTTCAAATTGCCACGGATTTTCTTATAAATGTGGCACAAACAAATTGGGGTTGAAGCAATTGTTACAGGTTCTAATGTATTTGTCCAAAATTGTTATAAAATTAGGAACTGCTCTACTTCGAGAACGTGCATCACACTTCTTTTTTGGGTTTACCATGGATAAAAGATTGCTTTTGGCGGTTGTCCTTTCCAAAGGAAGTTGGGGTATAATGTTCATATTTCTTGTGAACGAAGAGATCCATACATAAGAAATAAAAAAAAAAGTTATTTTTTGCTTTAAGTAGAAAGAAGGTACCAAAAAGTTCTTATAAGTTACAAGTCTTTTTCTTTAAGAAAATTAAGTGCTTTGTAGGTATTATATTACCATAATTGGATCGGAAAAACTGGGAACCAGGCTACTGGCTCACGCAATGCTGTATTCATGACCTTCCAAGGAAAGCAACACTGTGTGTTTGTGGCACAAAAAATATCGGAATTGTACTATTGTTTGGTTCATACAACTCTTGAATAGCAACTAGCACAACACATTCAAGGATCAAGGTTATTGGTTCTCTCTGATAATTTGATAATATTTCCGCCTGATAGTTGGATTGGATGATACATGGAATCAAATTTCGGAGATGATAACGTATAAAAATAAAGTATATATATATATATACATACACACAGTTATACCAACTCGAATATGTAGCAAGTACTCCAGTGCAGCAACCAACAGTATTTCGATAGAGACAGACGGGAGAAAGGTTTAAAGCGTGAGCCATGAGGGAGAAGTTTTAAGGTCTGGGTATTTATAGAGAAAAAGGGTTGAAGTTATAAGAACTGTGTACTCAATATTGGGGTTTGACTTATGTTATCTATTTAATAACTCCTATTTTAAGAAGTCTAGGAGATAAGGAAGATGAGAAAACTTATTTAATATTGGGGTTTGACTTGGTATTTAGCAACTCTTTATGCCCACAAGACGCCTAAACCAAGGCGCAGGGCCTCCTTAGTTGAGCCTCGTGAATACGCCTAGCCTCAGAGCCTAGGCGTGCTTTTAACAACTATGATTGTTTTAAAGATGCAACTTTTGTGAATAGGCAGGCACAATTTTTCTACTAATCTAGGTGTTTATGATTTATCAGTGACTAGGTGTGTATGACTGTTGATGAAACATAGTTGTGGAGTTTTGGTTTGGTGGTAGGTTAACTTTTTTGCAAGATACAGCTTCCTTTTATTAAATATTAATAGATCAACTTCAACTTAAGATGTATATATTTTCAAAGGAGCAACACCTGGAAGATGGGTCTAAGATAATTTTCCTATATGTGTAGCTAATGATAACAAAGAACAGAACAAACCCAGTAAATCCCACTCGAAGTAGGGTTTGAGGAGGTAGAATGTGTACAAACCTTACCTCCCCCTCGAGTGTAGAATGTGTAGCTAATTATATAGACCAAAAACTATTTGCTTTGGTTAGGAGTGAGGTATTTTCTTCATATTACGTCGCATAATAGGGATCCAAACTGTGCAATGTCCTTGGCAAGAGCAAAACTGGGAAACAATGTTTCATTTCAGATTTTGGATGCATAAAAGACGAATCTTTTGGGATTTATTTTTTTAGAGTTTTGGATTATGGCCTAATAATGCATGAGCTCTCATAATGTCTTTAACCAAGATGATAACGTGCTCCATTCATTTTAGCTTAACTTCATATTAGAGCATTTTCCAAATTCGTGTATAAGTTTTATGTTTAAGATGTCTTTAGGATATAGGGAGCATGATACCAACACTGTGAACATAGGTTTAGTTATATAAAATAGACAACCTTTAAGCATTTTTTTGGTGGTTTAATATTCTCCCTTTTGTCTTTTTGCCTTCAGCATTACCCATGATATATGCCAAGAGTGCTTGCCAAATTTCCAAGGAGACAATCCAGCTCATATATTATATTGCTGTATGGCATTCTTTGATTCAGTGGGGATTATATTGGAACACATACAACTGTCTAATGTGTTGTTAATACTGTATTTTGTTGCGTTGTTGTCAGCAAAATATAAGTTAAGATAATATCTGTTGGATTCATTAAATAATTGTGTGCTTAGACAATGACATCTCAACTCTTTCCCTTGGTTTTTTTGTCAATATAAAATTAATGTGAATACATGTCTCATGACTGTGATTAATGACTACATGTTGGCTCTATTGCTTATTAAAATGCTATCTGCCTTCTAAAAATTGTAATATCACCATGAACATACTGCTTGATACCCGTTAGCAGTTTTCTGTTTGCTTACGTGCAAGAATGATTTCATTTGTGGAATTGCACTTCACCCCTATATGACTTGGGATATACCTGTATCTCTATATTGAAATTCACAAAATACACTTTAACTAATAGCATGTTTGCTGCTAATTCACTACCATCTCATCTGCAATTCTATTTCAAGATCTGGTCCTCCTGTAGCTTCCAGAAAGGTAACCTGCAACTTGTGGGCCATCCGTTGCAAATCTATGAAGTCCGAACCCAACAAGCCTGCACAACCACAACTCAAGTCTATAGAGGCTTTGCCACCAAGAGTACCACCATATCACTGTTGCTGCTCAGAGGCGAAATACTGCCACCGTCAACCACTTTGGTCTCAAATCCACCACTAAAGCATTTCTCTAATGTTGTGATGCATTCATTCATAAAAATGAGATAGAAATAATTTCAGATCGAAGAATTCATTTATTCTTAAAAGAGTCCGTAAGAAATATTTCTAATAAAGGAATAGAATGATCGAAGCTGCTCAAATACCGTTGTTTCAAAATATTTCCTTTCCTTCCATTTATTTGTTAGATTGCTAATAGCTAATTAGGATCACATATCTTGGTTCTAGAAGTTTTAATCTGGAAAAGTTGTATGCATCATATACTGATACACTCTCCCATCAGTTGATATACAGTGATTTTTTGATTGTTGGTGTGACTTTAGGACTGACAGAACAGCCATTGAAGCTGTTGTGGGGACAGCTATTTGTTTGATATCTTCATAAATATTTTAGTTGTTGATTGGTCTTGTACCATATTTTCTTCTAGAGTATTGCACGATATTGGTAATCATATCTTTGGAGTCCCACGTCGGCTAGACTTGGACCATTTCTTTTAATATAAGTTGGAACCTTCCTTCTCCCCTCGGAGGCTCTTTTAGAGAGTAGTCTAATGGGGGTTCCACATGTTCTCACATGATTAGAACCAAGGTCTACCACTCTAGGAGTCGACACAGGATCCAACACTCTAGGATCATCTTTGCTTGTCTAACCCCCTTCTCGACACTCTAGGATAATCTTTGCTTGTCTAACCCCCCTCTCGATACTCAGGCACAATTTGTGCCCGTCTAGCCTCCGTTGGACGGGGCGTGCTGGATTCCCACGTCAGCTAAACCTGGATTCTTTCTCTCTAATTTATCTTGGGACCTCCTTCCTGCTCAAGGGCTCTTTTGGAGAATAAGTTAATGGGATTCCTCATTAAGAAAGCCAAAACCAAATCTAACCCAGTAAATCCGAGCAACTTTTGACTCAACTTGTGGTCGAGCTAGTGGTTTTCTTCTAAAATACGGGAGGTACTAGACTGGATGAAACAGGTGAGGGTGAGGTAGGCGGGCGTGGATTTATGTTATAGTGGTGGGGGCCCTTGCCCCCAACAAAATATTCTAGTAAAAGTGTCGGTAATTTTGTTTTTTATCTACATTCTTTATGATGCCCCCATCAATTAAGCTCTAATGCCCCCAACTTTTAAGGTCTCAACCTAACTCAAATCATATTTCTCTTATTTCATTTTCTAAAATGCTACTGATTTAATAAAACCACTATTTTTCTGTTTTCTCCAACTTCCTTTTTGCATTTTATTTTTTTAGATTTATATTTATTGCTATTTGTTAATTATTAGTTTTATTTTGTTGGTTGTTATTTGATTTAGGGCTTTTGAGTTTGTTATTTAATTTGGGTTTGTTGTATTGATTTACGATTTGATACTCATTTGTCTTAACTCCCCCACTTTAACTTCAGGCGTCCTCGTTAGGTCTGCCTAGAATCTTCCTCCCTGTATTTGGCGATGTGGGATTTGCCTAAGGTGTTACAAACACCCCCTCTCGAGGACTCATCATACCCGATGAGGTTTGCCCCACCATCCCGATGGTACAGGGATTGGCTCTGATACCATTTGTAATATCCCAAAGCCCAAAGCAACAGACTGACCCAATAACTTCAAAGCCAACTTCCACCGTGGTTTGAAGTTGGTTTTGAAGTTATTGGGCCAGTCTGTTGCTTTGGGTTTGCGGTATTACAGAATAAGTTATCTTTATTGAGTCAACCGAACCGTTTTAATTCAAACCCCAAATATCCCGAAATTATCTTGGTTCGGATGAGTTATTTGTTTCGGATTTTTGGACACCTTTAAGTGAGCACTAATAATAAAAGTTCCTAGATCTGCCACCGTAGGGTTTTAATTTGGTATGAGTAATTTAGTAATTTACCAATCCTATCCCGTCTCCCTAATCTTTGTTCCACCTATTTTGGTGGGACAGAAAAATGCATTCTTGTCCCACTTAGTTCCCGCCCCGTCTAGGTCGAATGTAGCACCAAACGTGAGACAACAAGTTTTTGTATTGTATTGTGTTTGCCGTCCTGCTTACCAAATGGATCCGAATGTGTAGATGGTAACTAGTTCATGATATTTGCAGGATAGAGAAAAGGAAATCAAAGAGACAGGGACGAGCACAAGTGAAGTAGTGCAGAGAACAAATAAACCAGATGGTCGACACAGGGAGGGCTCATCCACAACAGTCGAGGGCGATGGCTTGATGTTTGAACTTCCGCACCATCCTTGTAATTTCTTTGGGGTTGCAAAACAAGCGTTTCTCAAGTGCTTGGGTTTCGATTCCTCACCAGAGAACCCCACTAGGAGACGACACGAGAAAAATGATTGACAACGTATGCCCCCTCTCTTCGTCTCCTTATGAATGTACAGCATGCTTTCTTTTTCTGTTGTTCCAACGAGCTAGAAAACACTAACCGTATCCTTGGTTAGATCGGTTAAACTCTGATTGTCAATTGTAACATTGTAGCAATCGATTTAGGACTAGTTTTGATGCATTTGGTCTTGGATGATTGGATCAAAGCTTGCTTACATGATCGTCGAGCGTGGCTCTCAGTTCTGCCCCCCCAATCAAAACGCATGATAGATCATTTAATATATAAAGTGACGATATGTTAAGAGGTTGATTGGTGGATAGGACATGGAGTTTGGGGAAATTCGAGCATTTCAGATGGATGAAAAATCGCAACTCTGCTTCACCTCCCCTGTAGGTAAGGGGCAAGCTAATTGAAATTAACTTCCCCCCTACCCAATCTACAGGGTATGGAGTTAGTGTTGGTCAGTCAGCATGCCTGAGACTGAGAGTAGGCAGGGCAACGGGGCGAGTTTTCCCCGGCCCTGGTTTCTATGAACGGCCCCCGGTCCCCCGACGGGTACGGGGATTAATATCCTGTCCCGGTTTATTTTCAAATCTGGTCAAACTCCGATTCTCGTCCCCGGTCAAGACCTAATTTTAGAAAGTAAATAATATATATATATATATATATATATATATATATATATATATAGAGGTCTAATCAAATGAGAACTAATTAGTTTGTGGTAACTGTAAGAACCAATATTAACCACAAATCAATAGATAAATTAGGAAATTTATAATTTTGGCAATTTTGAATTAAAATTTTAATGCAAGGATATTTTTGGTATTTTATATACCAGGTACGGGGTGGATCAGGGGATACACTACTTGGCCTCATCCCCAACCCCGGTTTGAGTCTATTGAGGATCCTCGGTCCCAGGACCCGTTTTAGCGGAGAATCCATGGTCCCGTTCGGATCGGGTGAGCCGGGTTCCCAATCAGGTCGAGGCAAATCACCATCCCTACCTAAGAGGTCACTACTCTCAACAGCGAACAAAGGTAAAACAATTGTTGACTTTCCAGGCCTTTGGGCCTCACGAACGGTCTGGTATAGGAGTGCTCAAAAACCCGATCAACCCAATTCGACACGAAATAACTCAACTCGAAGCAACCTGATCTCTAATCGAGTTGTAAAATTTTCAAACTGTAAGTATTGGGTTAATATTAGATTACTATTATTTCTTGGATTTAATATGATTGTTGAATTTCTATTAATATGTAACACCCCCTTCCCGCGTGGTCAAAGACGGGAGATGCCACAAGTGGAATAAAAAAACAACGCGCTATATAAAACAGAGCAGCTAATAAAATTTACCAAAAGATAATTACATAATCATAGATGGAGATAACGTGTCTCAAAATACGGTCCCAAAATACGGTCCCAAAATACCAGTATATCTACATTAGTCATCAAAAGTTTAACAAAAAGTATGACTTAATGAGTTATCTTCAATATTGTCATCTCCGTAGCTCTCATCCCAAAATCTCTGCTAAGTCATATACCTGCCGAGGACAAGAAAATCTCGGCTGAGCTTAATGCTCAGTGAACGGATAATAATATAACTAAACAATGAATATGAGATAACAAGTTCAAAAACAATTTATAACGCTAAGTGATAATCCAAAAGAAATCAAAATGCCCCAAAAGCATGTCAAGGGTCCGAAGACCAAATCACATCATGAGGACGCATTGTTCCCAAATGATGATCAGTCCATTCAGGCACAAGTGAGGAAAGGGGTGTGAGCAAAACGCAACAATCCTCTCCGTGGATTTAACCACGACCACAATTCATTATCCGATAACGGTTCCTAGGATCGATCCATACGCCCTCTATTCGACTGGTACATAATCAAGTCCACTTTTAAGGACTTATAAAAATAAGGTTGCCATGATCGTTTTAGTCACCATGGAAACATCTCAATACCGGTGCTCCGGTTATTGAGTCTATAGTTAAAATGTTTTACAAATGAAGTAATAAAACAAGTCAAGTGATCAAAATGATCCATATTYCGAATAAGAATATAAGTTGTAGTTCAAAAGGAAACAAAGTTCAATAATATTTGATAAGCATAAAGGAAATTCAGAACAAATTATTCGGAATTTATCATAGATTATCCGGATTAGGAAGCCTTACGCAAATGGCTATCCCCGTGTCAAGTGAGATATGAAATCCGTACCTTAACTGAATTTGACAATTAACGCACGATCAAACGGAAATTCACGATCAAGTTTGATTTGTCCTCGTGCCTAACGAATGTATAAACGGGTTACTATTTATAAAGCATAGAAACCATAATATAACTATTCTAATAAAATTACTTAGGTCTTAATCTACTTAAACAACGTAGACTTCAAGAAGGACAGCTGGATACAAATTGAAAACTCAAACGTAAAACTTAACCTTATTCTCTTTCGATCCAACCACTTCCGTCCCTCTTATTTCTAAGCATTTTTACCTTACTTAGAGACCAATCCAGACTGTATTGTCAAATGAAAGTTGTAGGTTGGTATCATATGAGTCTATTGGTTTTGAAATCATCTCATTTGGATCATCCATCTATTTTAAACGAATTTTACAAAACTGCAATTTAATCCCGAATACAGTGTAAACAGCCCCAAAAACATACTGTTTCGAGCTACTTAGAGTCATAACTGGATTTTCGACCCTTCATGAAAGTTGTAGTATGCAGTAAGATCTTTCTGACTGCAAAATACGAGCGTATTCCGATATACGGTTTGTGAGTTATACACTGCCAAAGTACAGGAGTTACATTGTCGGTAAAATTCGATTCCGTAATTCCCGACTAACTTTTATGATTCAATTTTCATGATTCGCTACATTTACATAGTATAAAAGTACTTCAACATACTAAATAGTAAAACAAGTCTAATAGTCATTAACCTAAGCTTAATCGTGCATTTTTTACTCTTTTCGACATTTAACCGAACAATTGGTGTACGGTTAAACATATACCCACAATTTAACCATAATGAAACTATAATATACCCTTTTTATTTCTACATCAATTTAACCAGTCCTAACATTCTAAGCATCAAATATATCATAATTTTGACAACATCAATCCGTAAACTTAGATATAAACACAGTTTATAAACCGGTCTTAATAACCCTAACATAAACACCTTAATGAAACTGAATGAAATTTATACCTTTAAGAAGGATTCGGAGAGTGGATTCCGAATATATATTTGTTACCTCGATTCCGTAGTAACTTGACGTGAAACTTAGAGAAAAAACGAGAGATGTTTAGAAAGAGAAAATTGAGAGAGAGATTGAGAATGAGACGGTGTAAACCGTCATTCACATGCATATATATATATATATATATATATATATATATATATATATAGTTTAATTATTTTGCGGTTTTAACCCTTCAAGTTAGATTCTCAACTTTACGTTAAATTAGGTATAAACTCATTTTTGACGCAAAACTCGTCTGAAGTACAAGTTGGTATAACATAGGGTACAAATATGTTATGCATAATTCTACCAAAAATTCTCTTAACCCAATTTGTACGAGTTAACGAAACACGGATATTATATAATATATACATTAGGAAATTACACTATCATGTACCCTCTTCATATATACATATTTTCAATCTATTCATATCTCTGTATAACTTATTCATATATATGTTCAATAACTGTGAACAAATATGTAAATTGAGAAAATTAACTGAATGTGATATACGTAAGAAGTATGGATAATTTGTATCAAATGGTTGATGATGAAAAAAAAATTATGAGTAGAAAAATAACATATTCAAGGTTAGAAGAATATTTTAATATACCAAAATATCAACCCGACTAACCCAACCAACCCGTACGGTTCTGGTTGGGTTGCACTTTGGTTTGGGTTGGATTAAGATTTTTCAAACCGCAAATATTTAGTTAGATTGTTTAAATATCTTTAACCCGATCAACTCAATCTATGAACACCCCAGTCTGGTTTTGTGTTCTATTTTGGGAGTACCATGGCAAACATGACACACAATGACCTGGCATAGTGCTTGGTGGCTGTCTTGATAGCCCAAAGCCTTAAAAGAGCCCAATCTCGAAGGACAGGAATCATGACTTAACGAGTAAGAATGAGCTAGATGGATGAAAGAATTATGGAAGGTTTTAGGGTTCTAATGTGACATATAGTTTAGCAATTTATCAACGTTGTTTTGTCTCCTTGAATTATGTTCCGATGTTTTTTGAAAGGACAAACGAATTACAGCTCCACAAAACGGCTGTTAGACTTGAGAACCCACACATGTTTGTGCAAATATATCACCCGGAAACCAACTCTACGTCCTATGGGCTCAATCCTAACCAGTAAATGAAATTATCCGCCTTCCGATTATGGTTCCTTTCGAGTGTGCATCCTTCAAGGATCATAAAAATGGCTCTGTGCAACCAAGAGAGCTTAGTAGTCTTTTTCAAGAATGAGATAGATCAATCAGATCAAAAATACGACAACTAAACCAAAATAAATGACGCTGCAATTCTTCGTTCAACAATAGAATCTATAGCACATGGTGCAGCTTTGTTCCGACTTATTATAATCAAACCAAAGCAAAGCAAACAAGCTCAATAAATCCCAATTGGAGGTGGGATACTCTAATGCAAGCAGACTTGTTCTCTACCCCCAAAGAGTAAAGCAGCTATTTCTATGAAGACCCGGACTGAACAGAAACTGCATGACTCTCATGAGCAATAGTTCTATGCATTTTTCACATATCAGTAGAAATGCATATGTAAATCAAAAAAGTAGTAAACAAAGAACACAAGTTACAAAATAATCCAAATTTGGAATGTAATTCATACAGTTTCACATCGACTTTCTCAAAGTTTGGCATGCATACATTTTCAGCCAAGAAAGAAGGGAAAAGAAAAGGATATGAAGAGTGTTGATCACACTGAAGTTAGGGTACATCACGAACCTAACCGCTAACTCATTTATGTAACCGTGAACTCTTCTTCTTTTCCGAAACCAAACAAACCCATTAGGTCTAGGGATGAGATATACACAAAAACTTGTCGTTTACCTCAAATGGTAGATCAGTTGTTTCCATGAATATCTCCAAACTTGTGGAGAAGTGTGGTAAACCCTTTTATTCATAATCCAGATAAATAAAACCATAATGATTTGTACCTCAGCAGCAGGATATTGTTGCAACTGACTTGCTCTGAATTTGAATTAAAAAAAAAAAAGACCAAGAAAGATGATGAATATAAGCCAAAAACCCATACCAAAAGCTTAGATGGACAAGCCACTCATGTTGATGCTTCTGATTTCTTGTGTCATTGATAAACTCAGCAATTAGGCATGCTTTGAGAATAAGTGGAATCACCAGATTACTCTCCAAAAGAGCTCTGAGGAGAGAACAGGAGTTCCAACATATATAGAGATGAAATAGTCCAAGTACATGTGGGACTCGAGCACGGCCCCTCCAGTGGAGGCTAGATGCCCAAAAATGGTCCTAGAGTGTCAAGAGGGGGCTAGACGAGTACAAATTGCCTCAGAGTGGTAGACCTTTGATACCATATGAGAATAGGTGGAACCCCTAGATTACTCTTGTAATCTCCAAAAGAGCCCTTGAGGAGAGAAGGGGGATCCCAATATATATAGAGGTGAAATGGTCCAAGTCCAGCCAAAATGGGACGTTTAACACATGCTAATATAGAGACAGATTGTGTGCAAGTATGTCCATAAAGAGAGAAGATTTACCTTTCATTGACATTGCAAATTTACAGAACTAATCGCCCTCAGCCCCCCTACAAAATTCATAAGCATCCTAATACCCAGCCAACACGTTTTAAGTTTTAGCAAAATAACGCTTATACCACTAATATATTCTATGAATAACTACTCTTTAAGTTTGTGCATTTCTCTTTGCCCATATATTTCTAAAGATACAAACTAAATTTGATTCAGTGTGTCCTTACCAGAGTTGAATTCATGAAGCTGTTCCCTTCAAAAAGAAGACAACCATAAGGAACCTTAATGAAAGAAGCGAAAGTGCACTTATATTTCACAAGTTTTCGCATCATTCTGAATGACTTCAAGTACCGTTGCATTGCAAAAGAAGCACCTTTCACAATTGATGAGATGCCGGTTTATGCAGCCAAAACAGGAAACATGTGTGCATGGTAAGAACTTGGCATCTGCTTCACTAGTGTAGCAAATGCAGCACATATCGTCGTTGCTTTCTGTTTCTCCTTCGTAGCTCACCCTTTTGACCGTTCGGGAGATAAGATGGCTAGAAAAATCCTCTAGTTGCCTGAGTTTTGTGAGATGAACATCCCCCTTGAAGGTTGCAGCCTGGTAAAGTGATGAAAGCATGTGAGAATGCACTAGAGTCTACATAGAGCGCGATAGATTACAAATAGCAAAAAGATCTGTTGTTTTAAGACCATGGCAGGCAGCTACAATAAATTCAGACGACAGAGAAGGTGTTTAAGAGGTAAAGCATGGACCAAACGTTCAAAAAAGCATTGATGATAGCTACCCATCCAACTTTCTATGAAGGCAATGCGAGCAACATGATTTTTTTGGTATTCAACAGCCACATAGTAAAATTGGCATTGCATCAAGATTCAAAAACTGATGAAGCAGACAAACTCCAAACTCGTGTTGGAATTGTTCAACAATGATGTGAACTTGAGCCAAAACCTACTACAGCCTAAGCAGCTCACTGTTGACAACCATTAAGTCCGTGTTTGGCAACCATAAGCGAGCTTATTTTTTTAGCATACTGAAAGTGCCCCGTTTGGTAAGCCAATTTGAATATATATATATATAATATTGAGCCTTTTTTTGGACTCTCCTAAGATCGGTTACCGGTGGAACCTACACTAGCTTTTTTAAAAGCTACTTCAGATAGCTTATTGGACCTTTTTTCACCTTGTTCCAATTATGCCCCTTGTATTTTTCTCTTAGGTCATTTTGCATTATCATCTAGTATATCAGCTAGTTTTTACCATGCTTGACAGCTAGTTTATCAGCTACTTTGCCAAACATAAAGTGATCTAAAGCAAAGTTGTTTCCTTTTATAAAGCATATCCAGATTCTTCCGATGGGGTCACACATATCCATAATTGTTTTCCTTATGGGGTCCAATCAGCTGTGAGTGTGACATATTTGCGGAACATCTTACCCTGTTTCCTCATGTCTGTATTCTCAGGCTAGGATACTATATTCACAAAATTTAGCATATGGCATGTAGCTGAGTTGGAAAAAAGGGTGGGGAGACTTTGCCCAAATACAAGACAGGTCCTGGGTTCGATCCCAGTCCCCCAGCTAGCCTCAGCCGCTGAGTGAGCCAAAAATTGCCCCCTCACATTGGTGTCCTTAGAGGCGGCTTCTGTGTGGGGCTGGTTGAGGTTGCCGGTAATCAACTTTTTGCCCAAATATTCACAAAAATTAGCAATTTCAAGGATGTAACTTATTGGTTATCAATCTAAAGATTTATGTGTGATGCAAGGGAGGCATGCGCTTTGCATTTTTCTTCTAGAGTGCAACAGTTGGTGCTTTATACGACAAAACAAGTTCAGGTTTTGATGTGTGTTTATATACGAATATATACACAGAGTGGGGAACTTAAAAAGTGTTTTGACAAGCATTGAAGCACTACACTCAAGAAGTGTGTGTTTCTTGTGTATGTAGGGATAAAAGCTGAGACGTATAGCAGAAAGTCATGACTACTAACCCAATTGAACTTTAAGAGGTACTGGAATCCGGAGATAAGAGTATCAGAACAGTCCATGCTTGTAAAAATCCCCACAATATCGTTCTGCTCTCTACTGTCTGTCACAACACTAGCATCCAACAAATTCAAGATGATACCAACTAAAGGCGCCAAAATCATTCCTCTGTTGACCTTCTCAGGAGTCTGACCAGGTCTTCTAAGTGTCCTGCAATTCCACAATATGCACCACACCATAAAGAAGTGAAACGTTGAAATATATGCTACCATTGATGCAATGGCGAAAATAAAAGTGAAAGCAAAAGCAAATTCGCATCACAGGAACCAAAAGCACTTTTAAGGTTGCATCTCTAACCAAATCTAAGCACCAACTTCTGACATAATTGACCTTTGGATAAAAATCCCGAAAATTTAATACATATTCATTAAGAGTGTAGATAATAGTTATAAACCCTTCTTTGGTAGAAGTAATTCCACTCATTTATCGATGCAATTTCGAATACTTGAACGGTCGACTCCTTTTTAGTTTTCCGAAAAATATGTCAAGTAATTCAACTTAATATTTATAATGACTCTAAAAGTCCTTCTTGTTGTTCTGAAAGTCCTGAGCCAACATTAACTACATCAGGTATCATCAAACACACACTAAAAGATACACAACAATCTCTAGTTTCCGTGCAAGTCAGGTGAAGTTAATATATGGTAGATTATATTATTTGCACCAACATTGATCAAGAAACTTTTTCCCATTTTCCTCAGGAGGGAAGTCACATCCAAATAGAACTTGGAAGTGAAACAACTTGATATATTTCAAGAAATTAACAAGTCGATATATTGAAGAAACTTACAATTCAAAGAACTCAGGATCAGCAACTGAAGTCAAATGGTTCAGAACAAAGACAACCAACTCTACCAATCTACGCAAGTTTGTATCTGCCCCCGACAGAAAAGCCTGAGGAATCTCGCATGTACAAAACTCTAGCACCCTCGCTAGATTGCTTGAGAGGTCAAATATAACACTGCATTTCCTCTGTTGAAATTCTATCATCTGCAAAAGAGGAGCATTCATATAAGATATGAAATATGCAGAAAAGATGCATCTAGGATGGAGCTTTATATGTTAGCTAATAGCAACATAGTGTAGCAACTAGCAACTCTTTGAGGCTAATTTGTTAACAATAACGTAGAGCATTATGAAGTTGTTTCCCTATGCCTTTTCATCACGATAATTCTCATTTTTTTTTCTATTTCGAATTTGGAATTCTATTTATTAGAAATTGATCGAAATTGAAATTGATTTCTAGATGGTACCAAAGCTACACAATATATGAAGAAATTAGCATTCCTCCCAGTCTAACAAACCAGTATCACTCTTACCAGCTATTTGATTGCGCAAGATACATGAACAAAACAAATTCTGACCAGACATCTCAAAACACACTTGTATGAGAAGATCATTGTACCTGACATTTTTCTTGCATTTCTCGAATGGAAACTGAGAATTCTGTCATTGCCCAGCTGAGAGTATTAAAAAGACGATTGAGGAATGCCGAAAATAATTCTTCATCATTGAGACAAGCCTCGCGTAATAATTTCTGTCAATATATAAAGTCAACAAATGTAGATGTTAAGAGTCAAGTAGTCAACATCTAAAATTCTTTCACAAGAGCTGAGCACCTATAATTTGGAACTTTCACAAGTCCAACCCGTGTGCTAATTTAGCCTGTTTCTTCAAAAAAGTAGCATGATGAAAAAACTTATCAAACATCCACTTTTAGTCTTTCCAGTTACAAGCTCTTAAATATATTTTTTTACTATTACATGACATTATAAAACCACCCCCTTCCATTGGTTTCTTCTCTATTATAGTTCCATCACCATCATCTTCATCCTATAATAAATAAGGACATTCCCTGCATAACTACGTTAACCTGCCACTTGGCAACAGCTTTACCCCCTAAACCGTAAATAAAAGAGTTCTCCTTACTCCTTACAACAATATCCATCCCTCCCCCCAACCCTCTTTTCTGTCTATATCTCCATATACACACATGCAATAAGAAATCTGACAAGCCACTCACACCATATTCATTATCATCTGTAGTAAGCTAGAAGTGAGAAACCATTGGCGACTCGACAAGTAGAACCATGAACCAGCTCTAGAAAAACGAATATAAGTACATACTATCCCGAGTCAAAAACTTTTACCTTTTCATAAAGAAGATAATGATGATTGAAAAAGAAGAGAAATGAATTTCAAACAAATTATCTTGCTCATCGAAACACATTTGGTTATAATATTAACATTACTTATACACACAAATACCACTAAAAGGATAATGCAGCACATATATGACCATTTATCACCTACAATTGAAATGGAAATGGCCACTCAACCCTTTTGGATATAGTACAGGTTTGCATACACCCCACCCCTAGACCCTACTTTCAAGTGGGATATAGTGGGTTCATTTGGATTTGGCAATTGAATGGAAATGAACGAAACAACTAAATGAGTCAAGTAAGCTCAGCCCCTTGCATGACAGTCAATGCCATTGAAATTGGATAGGAGGAGCCTCTTTTTTCATTAACAATTTTATTGTCTTTTATTGGAGAAAAAGGAAACATCAGAAACACATACTGAAAAGCAATGCCACAAATTCACCTGAAACACACTAGAAGTCGATGAAGACTCTCCATGCTTTAAAAATCCAAATCCGCATCCCTTGCATAACCGGATAAGTATATTCGTTACAGGAATCCATGATCTGTTATCAAATGCTGACAATAGTGCTGTTGGCAGGCTACGAGTTGCAGCTTGGTTGCTTTCAAAAGCAGCCAGAAACTCCTTATACTGAACCAATACAGAAATTGACTGCAGAAGTAGATCTCTTAGTTCTGCACTCGATATTCTTGGGTCACCAAAGTGGGTAACAACAAAAGTAACCTGAAAAAAAAAAGATAATAATAAAAACATCAGTTAGTAGATTTTCATAAATATCAACAAAAAACATTTAACATATTGATGTAGAATTTCTGCATAAATAATGAGCAACATATGTGGACTGAGAATAAGAAAATAAAATTTAAAAAAAACTAATAACTAGGTAATACATAGTATATGACGTAACTATACAAGAATCCAATACTCCTCGAATATCATGCTCAACTTGCCGCAGGTGAAATTAATATAGGGTTTCCATTGTGGCTTCTTAGAGATGTTTGCCAGCTGGTATTTAGACAGATTATGAATAGGATGGATGGTCGGAGGATCTGTTGTGCTAACCTGAATCTGAATGATTCTCCGGTGCAAAACCTTTTAATGCAGTATTACCAGGTTCATTTAGGATTACAAGTACCAAGAGATAAGATGTTCATGTATCACCATCAGCATAAACACATATCCAGAAAACATACCAGCGGCCAGATGTCTTAAATTTATCGCACATAAACACGCAAAATATAGAAATAAATAAATAATGACCAACATGTAATGGGGATGGGAAGAGATGTAATTTTTGCTTGATACATACACAACAATGCCGCAACATATCATGCCTGCTTATTCTAGAGTTTCTCTCCCTCCCCCCCGAACCCCCTCCCGAGCTATTTAACAAAGGAACATAAGCCAACTCCCAACTTACTCTCATTCTTTATTTTTCTCTTCATTTTGGTGTATCTGCCAGCATATTTTTCAGCCAACTTGGTTTTGAGAATTCTATTATCAACAAAGCATCAGATGTCACCACCCACACTTCAGAAGGAACTAACATAAGAAATAGTTGCAGAAAGATAGTTTACATGTAATTGTTCTAAATAACAGCATTATTACTATATGGAAAAAGAGAACATACAAATGAAGCAAGTCCTTGTTTTATAAACATTCCTGCAGGGACAAATGGGGGATCGCTCTTCCGCAACACATGGAAACAATCAACCTGCAAGCAAAATCGAAGAGTAATTACTGCATGGAAGTTGTGGTTTAGTAGTGGATAACTATTCCAACATATACAACCAAATCATTGCAGTTGAATTACGTTCCAACATAAAAAGACAATGAACCCCAGGAAAGCATATTTCTAGGCAACAAAATAGTGCAAATGCATATATTAAGAGGGTTACCAGAGTTTCCAAATAAAATTCAGGAATATAGCAGAAAACCAGATCCATTTTGCTAAGAGCCAGAAGCAATTGGACAATCCATATACATGCAGCATACATTCCCCTTTGTTTCCATCTGGCAAAAAGAGTGATACGGTACCTACAATACAAAACAGTGTGATTATGTAAAAGGAGTTGCATACGTTTAACTAAATACAAGATTGTTCAGTACTTTAATCAACTCTTTACATTAGAAATATAAATTTCCTGCTTATATTTTACAGTCTCGGCCAATGAACCAATGTCTCAGTGTATATATATTAATTGTTCCCCTCATGATAGATCTTATATTAAAGCCCTAATTAGTCATATGTATAAGAGCTAATGCCTTGGCATCCACACCCCAGTGTATATATTTTCTTTCTATGCTGCCAGCAGCAACCTCCCCCGGTCCCCCGTCCCCCCCACAACCTATCTTGTTGTCAACAGGCCTTTTTCTGTCACACAGGCATTCTCAAAGGTTGTTGCCTTTGACAGTCCTTATATGGGCCAAACCAGTCATCTAGAGCATAGAGCAAGAAAGAAAAGTTGATGGATAGCAGACACTAATAGCCCAAGTATCACAGCTTGACAAGTAAAAGACTGAAGAAACACAAATGAGGAAAACAAAAAGCAAATTAAAGCTCAATCATGAATTAGATGAGTGCAGAGCACATACAAGGGAAATTTCCAAACAACTTACCAAGCACAATGGCGCACACAATCTATAACCTCTTCACGGTAAACACCCCGAGCCTCCTTCAAGCGCCTTAGTTGTTCACCACTGCTTCGGTCTCTCATTTGTCTATCGGTTTCTTCCAACTGGGACATTGAATGTGACTGATGAGACATGTATGCTGACGCCTGCAGTGAAAATAAATTAGGACAGAATATTACTGTGGCAATTCAAATTAGATTTCAACAATGGACAGAATACCACATTAAGTGTTGATACTCTATAATTTTTCGACTTCATGGCGTATGCATTTTGGATTTAATGTAGATATATTCAGTGTTGATTACAACAAGTACATACTTCGTATCTGGCCTGCAGAAATGCACTATGTGAAGATTTTGTTCCTGGATAAAGCTCTGGGATGCATCAAAGTTTACAGCTGATATGACTAAAATCAGCAAGTCTAAAGGTAACTTATTTTGAACCTTATAGCTGATAACTGCTAAAAATTGCAATACTCGCTCCACTCTTGTTATGATTAATCTTGGCCATATTTCCAACTCCTTCAAGAAATAATTCATATGCATGCATACATACATATATAGATATTCATAATATATATATAGAGAGAGAGAGAGAGAGTGAGAGGGCCCGGTTCAAATGAGAACCACAAATAATTTGAGAACTAGGGAACTAATTTTTTAGTGTATATTCATCGTTGAATATGCTCATTGGCAGAATACAAATACAAGTGAATATATTCATCAATGCATATATAGTATATATTCATTGATTTATACACTCATTGGCAATACATATATATATATATATATATTGATGAAATTTATATAGTGTATATTTATCAATGAATATACACATTGTCGTCTATGAAATTAGTTCCCTGGTTCTCAAACTAAATGTGGTTCTCACATGAAACCCTCCCTATACACTATATATATAATATATGTGTGTGTGTGTGGAGAAGAAAGGTATGTGGGACCTTAACTAAGCTAAGGTAAAAAAAAGCCCCTATACAGGTGGTTCTACATTGTCCAACAATTAACAATGGGGTGTCTTTCCTATGCTTTTCACGCACGCCTAAATATGTCACACAAGTCTACGCTAATGTTGTGTTCTCGAGTTCTATTTTACGAAGGAAAGGAAGGTAAAGGGAAGGAAAGTAGGGGGAAAGAAAAAATCTTGTCTTCTCGAGTTTTTTTCAAGGAGGGAAGGGAAAGGAAAAGAAAGGAAAATTATGTTGATTTTCCTCCCACAACTTTCCTCCCAAATGTGGGAGGAAAGGGAAGGAAAGGAAAGGAAAAAAATAATTAAAAATATTTATAGAATTACACATCTACCCATCACTTTTTTTTTATTAACCTGGATATCTGACCCGCTATGCGAGCCGACTAATTCCAGGGCAACCACCTGCTATGCAGATAGCCCAGAGTCACCGCATTTGAACCTCCATGGGCATAAGGGGATTTTTATTCCTCCTTGGATTTTTATTCCACCCATCAATTACAGTCTCCTATAAAATAAATAAAGGTATATTTGTAAAAATGACATCTTTCCTTTCCTTTGTCTCCCGCTCAAGAACATGAAAATTTATTTTCTTTCCTTCCCCTTCCTTCCTTTCCCTTCAATCTCAAGGACACAAATAAAAAGATTTCTTTCTTTTCTCTTATTTTCCTTCCCTTTCTTTTCTTTTCCTTGCTTTAGAAACTCGAGAACACAGGGTAAGCCCATATACAGGATTCCTTGTGGTGTCTTATAGGCAACATGCCCCAAACAAATAATTTTCTTTGTTCCTTTGCCACAAACAGAAGCTTACAAGGGACTTGCTTTTTCAGTTCATAATAGAAACATCCATTAAGATGTTTTGGCTAATAATCCCAATATATGCAATCGACAATGATGCGTGATACATATATACACTATATGGCTGAAAACTTCAACACAACTTTACCGACTAAGACTCAATTATTGCAAGTATTTGACTTCACATGATTTATGAGTTGGGATATCATATGTTAAGAGGAAAAAAATAGGTTTGGAAGTTCTAATTCAGGCTTATTGCACATTTGTGTAAATGGCCTGTATCAATGCTGCAACTTTCTACTCCGTGAAACAATAGTAATTTGCCACAACTCCACAACTTTAGAAAGACAAATATGCAGTAGTGTATAAGTTATAACTTTGGTTCATTAAGTTGTTCTATTTAGCGGTTTTTTTGTTATTTACATTTACTTAGGATTACTTAGTCTCAACTGAAAAAAAAAGATAAAGAAAGGAAAATACTCCCCCGCCCAAAAAAAAAACCACCCACACCTGCCTCTTGACTCTACCCCATCGCCTATTTAACTCCATCCATGACCAAAGAAAAGAATAGCAGTACTCATCATGGGCACCATGACCTACAACAACTCCAGCCACTACATCATTAACTCCACTGCCCAGTGCAGCTCTTGTATTCTGTCTGTATGTGGGAGGGCCCGGCCAACTTCCCTACCAGCTCTTTAGCTTATCACTTGTCAAAGGTGTCATCAAGACCCACCCATCACCACCAACCTCAACCACAAGTTCACACCCAGAGGGACTCATGTACCAGCGACAAACATATGCTTTATCTCATTTAGAAGGAAATTGAATGAACTTCACCAGCTTCTATTGAAAATTCACAACCTGTAGAGGATCTTCAAAGTACCCCAAGCATCATGGGTTTGCCTTACGATTAAAGATACCCCTGCTGAGTCAATCAAGAGATCAGAAATAAGATCTTGCAAAGGTTCCCCCTAGTTAGATTCGTTAATCAGATATGTCATCCTCCTCTAGATCTGTCATATTCCTCACCCAAATCAGATCTGCCACCAACGTTCATGTATCTTTTTCTTTCTCCCTTTCAGTTTTCAAGCCCCTCTCTGCCATCATCGGCAATCAATTTCAATCTAAGGTTTATCCTTCAATTTGTCCCAGACATAGAGGTGGGACTGATGATTACAGCTTGAAGGGGAGAATAAATTGTTGAAAACAATATAAGAAAGCATGTGGAAGAAAGACATATTAGGCAAGGGGTTTGTTGAGATTCACTGTTTGTTTGATTCAAGATTACTTGGCTTTTTTTTCATTTGAGGAAAATATCTTCAACCTAATATGAATAATTGGATTTTCTAGCGCTGTGCGCAAATTTACCAATGAAGTTAACTGGTGTGCAGCACTACAACACAAGTAAAAACACCTCCATGAAAATGCCTTAGCCTATGTCATTTACCCATTTGTCAAAAGTATGCCAAGAAAATAAGATAGAGTAGTGTTCACTTCCCTTTTTATCTATCTAATTTCTTTCTGTTGGATTATCAAGGATCAATATTCTGACATACGTAGCTAAATCAATGATGTGAGGTTACCTATTACAGAGCTAGGATATTGTTGGCATTTGGTAATGTTTTGTATGTATCTTTGAGAATGCAGTTAGAAGTATGACCCAGCTTTCTTTGTCACAATCCTATTATGTGTCTATGATGTCTAACAAACTAGCCAAATACCCTTCCGACCAGAAGACACTCCTAACATCACCAATTACCAGTTTCTCCGACATCTGGTGGCTGACACAAAATCATAGTATAAGCATCAAGTTCATATCAGCAATCTTCAATTATAACGAAGAGGATGTAAGTCATGATCTACTCACAATGACTTGACTTTATTTCTTCCTCTTAAACAACTGACGCTTTTTAACAATTAAAAAGGTTAAAAAAATGTCAGGACAGGCACAAAATTAATACGCTTCCTTGGTACACATATCTCGTCTTTTCTTTTAAAAAAGAACAGCACACAATTAACATGTTCATAAATATACATTTCTTTAGCTAGCATCCATAAAAGGCGACTGAATAAGCTAGTAATTGAATAGCATTCGAGGTTTTCCATTTTCACTATAGTCTATACATATTCATGATATCCCAATGGTTTAGCCTACAAAGTTTCTAAGCAAACAAGTATTCAAAACAATAGTTCTAAATTGCTGATGAAACAGAAGCACTTCTTTTGCATAGTTTTTGTGATAAAATGGATAGATGATTGTAAAAATGGAAGAATGAACTGTACCCATTAAATCATAGTGAAGAAGTAAAACAAAATCTTAAATGGAGAAAATATCACAAATTCAAAGCAAACAGAAGGTTTCTTCTATTTCTTAAAGCAAGCTTTTAACAAAGATAGTTATCTAACCTGCTTAAAGTTTGGTGCAAGGCCCAAATGGTACAACAGAAGCATGGCATCCAGAAGTTCCTCTTCTACTAATGTTGAGGAAGATAGAGAGCTCTCTAGTGCTACAACCCTCATTTGCTGCACTGAACGATAACCGAACTCGGAATCAGACTGGTCACTTGTGCTAGGCTTGTCTGCCATTTCATCATTCAAATTTCCAGCACTGCACTCTGCAGCCACCTGAGCAGTTCTCTCTGGAATAGAGCTGCAGTGGCTCTGAGAAGCTTTAGTTGTGTATCTAAAAGGATTCTTAGAAATTCGTGAAAAGTTGGCATCCAAACTTAAGCAACAACACGGCTTCTGACTACCTCCATGTGTAATTGTAGTACCTTCATCATCTGTACATCCTTCTTCCCACCGAACTACTTCTGCTTCGGGGTCCACATTTACAGGATGAAAATTTGCTAGATGACTGTATGACCCACCAAGTCTCGGGATCTCAACTCGATGAGGATCATTTTTAAGAATAAGTGGAAGGGGGAAACTTTGTTGGCCACCTCTGTGAAGAAACCCAATATTGGTCCCGCCACTAGTTCCAGAACCCATCATCCAGCCACAGCCCCTCGTCGCAAATCCTTCCGATAAAAAATGAAGTATAACTGTGAACAACGAAACAAGAACTGAATTGCTTGATACACCAGGAGGTGGTATATTGCGATCCGCTCCCCTGTTTCTCAAAATAATATTCTGTAAAAATGTTCTGAAAATGGAGCCGGGCAACTGAGGAGGTGTTACAGGTGGAATGAACTGCATGACCAGGCAACAAAGGTCCCTATGTTTCTCCTCGATCTGCCAAAGAGGTGTATAAGTACAGGTGAAGATAAAAAACAGAACCAAATTCCATTACACCAAACAAAAGTAAAATTTTCCTTTAAATCTTTTTTTTAACTATGTCCTGTCAAATCACCACAAACCTAACCACCCATGCAATCTAGTTAGCATCTCTGCTGAGATGTACCAGAAAGCAAGGTAGAATCCACAAGATCATTTTCAGAGAGAGAAACAGGTCCAGTAATCCATCAAATACAAAGCAACATTCTCTAGGGTTACTATGCAAAATATGATGAGCTCATTAAATTTCTGACGAAGATTAAGTGAAGTTATATAAACAAGTAGAACTTTAAGCTATATATTTAGAACAATGAAACGTGTCGGAAATTTTACAGCTTTCATGTGGATCTGGAATACATGGAGAAGACAAGAACAGAACAAAACCAAACATAGACTTCCTTTAGCACTTTAGCTACACTATGTAGTGGAGTAAGGCTAGATGCTCAGCCATGTTCAGTCAAATTGTCCAATTTCCAAGCATTATACTTGATGACGAAAGATCCCATCAAGAACACTGCTGGGAGCGACCAAAGGGCCTTTGGCCCAGCAGTATCTAGGTTACCAGTAAGATCCCGGCCTCCCTAGAGGTCAAGGGTTCAAACCTCACCAAAGGCGAGTATGTGCGAACATTTGCTGTTAATTTCATATACATAAAAAAACACTGCTGGGAGTGGGATATATTCCATCGGTTCCTGTGTGGTGGTGCCAGTTGTGGTTGGATCTCAAATAATGGGGCAAGGTATAGCAGATATTATTTTCTTAGTTTGAAGAGACATTTTTAGTTGGATTTCCTTCTTGATCAATCACAACTGCAGCATTGTCATCATACGTATTATCATACCGTTGTCACATTTGCGTTTAATTGTCTAATGATTATACATACAAAAAATAGATGTTCAATTAAAACCATAAAGAAAAAAAAGAAGCAAGGGACTCAATGCCGTCGATATTTTGAAGTTGTAGGGGCATCGTTGGTTACAAAAGAAAAGAAGCAGACTGTTTATTTGACATCATTCCGACAGTTAAGCATTTTATCTCCCTCCCTCACCCCATCCACCACAAGAATTCTTTAGTACTTTAAAGATCAAGCCATATGCCACACCCATGCCATGCATCTATGATCCTTTAATAACAAAAGAACATAAAACACCAACTTGTCCTATAAATATCAATTCAAATTTTTGTGATTCAGTAAGACGATTTAGGAGTAAAGTAGGCTCGACTGCAATGTAAGGTTGTAAGTGGATATCCAAAAACCCAATATCCACTGAAAGTGGATCTTATTATTATATCCCATCAAAGCAAATAATCTATATCTACATCCATCATAGCAGATGCATATGTGGACATTGTCATATATGTAACCACAGATATCTGGTATGTTTCTAGAGATATCCGCCTCCCAATTATACGCATCTAAGGGGAAACTTAGGCAACGTGCATCGTGATTCAGTTGCTGGTGTCCCTCAAAAATTAGATAATCTGCTCATTTGTGGTGGATGATTTAAGGCATATAACGAGTCGATTTATACTCCCCGACACCATCTAAGACCAAGAATGAAATTTGATTGAAGATTTCTTTTTTTAATTTCAGTTTGTTGGTTGCACAGGAATAATATTTTACTATCCTAGAATGCAAGCAAAACTATATGCATATTACAAAGTGAAACTAATATCTACAAGTGATTTCTAAAATTAATATAAGGGTAATGAACTTCATTCATAAACATTTTTCAAGCTTATGGTTATATGGTAAGACCCTTTCTTAAAACTGCTCTAGTAGATACTAAAAATAGTAGAGAAAATCAGAAGGAAAAAGAAGTTCACTGATGGGGTAATGTTTGAGAAATACAAAAACTGTGTAGTTTTATGAAGGGATGATCTTCTATTTGAGGATGGCCTAAATGGAAAGTTGGCCTACTTAAAAGGGACAGATAGAATTAGAACCATACCTTATCAATTGCTTCGCTTAAAGTTCTAGTGGTCAGCATCATGCTATTTTCATAAGAGATATCTTCACACGAACCAGGCCACCATACAGCAGGTATCATATACTGAAGATCTTGTTTGTTGGGACTTATCTGGGATAGAAATCCTTCAAACAGGAACTCAAAATCTGACATCTTCCACCAAACAACCATCAAAACTTCACGTCTTAGCATGTGGCACACCAATGCAAGATATGGATATGAACCTGAATATGGACATTCTCTTAAAACAATACATGCAGTCTTGCAACGGTATGAAAGGGCAAAAAGCAGGTGTTCAAACATCAAGTTCGACCCTGGGAAATCAAGTAAGATATCAAGTACTCTATCCAAGCTTTCATAGTCATGAGGTGCTTGATCGCGGAAAACATCCATGAGGAAAGACAAAAGAGGACCCCAACATATATATTCTACACTCTCTGCATTTGCATCAAGGGCTGAGAATAACTCCATGCATATTCCACGAGAAACAGGACTATATAGCTCCTCAACAGGCAAATACCTCTTTAACCTTCTCAACTTCTCCATACAATTATGACTGGTCCTCTCCCCCCGCCACATATTCAACAACTTCGAAAAACAATGAAGTAAATGTATAGCTAACTGGTTTGTTGATGGCGGAGCTTGGATTGGTTGGAATCCTTGAACAGGATATCTAAAAGGGCGACCCCCAAAATTTAAATCGCATCGTTCACCTTGAGAAAGAGAAATCGCAGGATAATACCCTAGCCCAGGGACCATTTTCCGTATACCATTAAATGCCACACCAAGGGAAACACCATTTCTATAATATGATATTTCATCACTTTCGAAATCTATGCAGCATCCAATAACATCACCAATGACCCACGACTGGCCATAAGGCTCAGCATTCAGGTTCCATTTAATAACCCTTTTCCCATCAAATGCATAAGAATCATCAGCATCGCCTACACCTGTGTGTTCGGTGAAAGGGCAAGAAATAGTTGCCCATCCTAGCTGCTGTAACCCAGCAGTTTCAAGAGCTACTTCATACATCCATTTTCCTTTCCATACACATGCGCTTGCTCGCACGCTGCTGAAGACTGCATGGCTCTCAACCAGCAAAGGTGGTTTTATAACTTGGAATTCACCACATACACTTGATTCCTCGATTTTAACGGTGTAGGGTCCGGAACCATCAGCAACGGCAGATACTCCTTCTCTACAGGGATCTATATTCTGCAAGATTCTATGATGCATCAGGTATTCGTTCTTTATAATAGAACAAATTACATTAGCATCAACTTGAGAAGTCAGCAGATTAATGGTTTTGGATGGGAGGTCAAATACATATTCAAGAGTTCGCTCAAGTGACTGTTCACCAAAATCATCAGAATATGAGATAAGACGATTCCTCTGACTACTCTCCTTCCTATCCTCACCGTCCAATATTACAGCCAACCCGGAAGCAAGACGATTTATGCGTTGGCTGTCTTCAGCCATTGGTGAAATAAGGAAAAATGTCACTGCCCTTCAAAGTGACTCCTATCGACAGCCCTCAGCGGTCAAGCATATCAAATAACAACAGAATTTCAAAACCTTAATAGATGAAGCACCAATTTCACCCTGAAAATTTTAAAAAAAACAACAGCAATAAACAAGTTAAACCCAATTTCCAGAACAAACAACTTTTGCCAAAGATAAAAATAGGCAACCAAATTCATAGGATTTATATTAGATTATTAGTGATAAAAGCATGTTGAATTAGATTACCAATTAGGGGCGTTTGAGAACAACTTCGATATTAGGGATTGGACTCAGGATCATACAGTAAAAATCTTGATTATTTTGCTTCAATTTAAATTGGAAACCACTGAAATGGAGTTCGCTAACATACCCTTCGGTAGATTAGCAGTTTCCCTTTCAGATAATAAGCACCTGACAAGGGTAAAAATTGCGATCAATTGGAATTCACTAACTTTGCACCAATTTCCATCAAAACCAACAAATCGCTTACCCCTTCTAATTCTATATCAATATATTGCGGCAAAACTCAAATCCCAAGGGTACAAGATCATGAAGTCGCAACCAGTTCAAATTACTATCATCCTATGATAAAACCCAAATCAAACTACTTACAAATCATGAAGCCATAGACACCATCACCCTCTACGAAACTTTTCTCCCCTTAACCTTAGCAAACGCAGCAAAATCAACAATCAGAAATCACAGACGCCATTTCTGGTTCAACAATAGACAGATTAGGGTTTGGATTATGATTTTGACCTCGCCAGAATCTGGGAATTGAACAGAATAGAAGTCAGGGTGGGAGAAAGCAAAGGAAAAAAAGCAGCTTCTGATGGGTGACGCAGGCTGACTGAAATGCAACCCTATTTGATCACTTACCGACACGTGTAGGTTTCATTGACCGATGGGGCGGCGGCGAGACCCAGCCACCAGTAGTCTCCCGGTTCAATTCTTCTATCCAAAATTATTGATTTTTCAATTAAATAATTAGATTCGGTATCTTATTATCTGTAATTCTAGATAAAAGAAAATTCTAAAAAAACTCAATTATTTTTACCGTAATTTTGTCGGTAATTTTATTATT